ATCTTGCTAAGAGAAAAACCATTGTAATAAAACTTGTGCTTTTGTTATAGGGAATGTATGAACCTTTGCAGTTTAGAAGAAGTAAAGAAAATTGCAGAAAAAAGATGGCATTGTCAGTTATCTATTATTATTATTATTATTTTTTATTATTATTATTGTTATTATACTGTATGTATAAATCTTGCTACAGCTCACCCTCTCCCTCTCCCTCTCCCCCCTTTCCCTCTCCTTCTCTTTTTTTCTCTTTCTCTATCACCTTCACTCTTTCTCTATGCCTCAAACATCTACTTAATATACATATATATCCCGAATTTTAAGTTATGCTTTATTCCCCTTTTTTGATACTATAGGGGAATACGAGTCCAGTGATGCCACTGAAGACGAGCAAACCAGCGCCCCAGTTAGGTCAGTGAGGGAGATGGCGGCTTCCCTTGCCCGCAGTTCAGTTGGGGAGGAAGCAGGAGGCAAGAAAAAGTCCTCTTCTCTTCCTCGGAACACACCCCAAGCTGCCAACAGTGGTAAGTACGACTCCTGTAGCCATAGATGCAATTTTTCTAGCTGTAAGTAAAATCATTTAAGAATATATCATAAGAATACAGAAGTGATATATCTGTAGATTTTAAGATAAGCTTAAGAGTGCTCTGCGATGCATTTTGAACTAGTGTGTCTTCCAGTTTTTCATGCCAGGGACTTGAGATAGTTATGCAGATCTTGTTTCAGATGTCTGCAGTGTTTAGATTTTACCTTAATCTGCTAAGCTAAAGTCTGGACATTTTCTAGGATAACTTAAAGGAAGCTCGCTTAAAGCTGTCATAGATAACATATTTTTTAAGTGACAAATTGTTCTTCTAGTTTTTTGCACTTGTCCTGTGAAGAAAAAGATGAAATATAAACTAGTGTCTATGACTGCCTGCCTTACTGAATTATGTTAATGTTTAATGTTACACAGAACTACAGTAAGTTATTAAACCCAAATATAGTTTTGAAAATATTAAACTCAAGTAAATAATCACAAAACCCAAGTGCAAAATTTTAGATAACTCCAGATGTGACTGTTTGTTTAGAAATTAAGAAATATATCTGAATATTGGCATTCCCTTATGCCATATTACAGTAAAATGGTATACATAATTTTAGCATGATACCATTAAGTGGGAAGAGCAAGTAAGAAACAGTTTTTATATGCCTGATATTGTCTCCTGTATGTGACAGCTTTGTGCTTATGTACTGCATAAGAACTATTAAGATATTTTTCCTTAGTTAAGGGTTTGGTAATATTCATTGCTTCAAAGGATAGTCCTTGATTGACTGTGTCTTGAGTTCTGTCTTTTCTTTCTGAAAATGTTAACAGGTACACTTTTTATGCATACACTTACACACACACACACAAGCAAATAATACACATATTTACATACATACATAAAAATATGCATACTAATGTGTACACTGTACTTTATTGAGTAAGATTAGTTCTTGAGAATAAGCAAAACATCATATTTTTATATTTCAAGTACATGTTCTTGAAATTTAGGATATCTCTCACTGTTTTACAGATAACAAATAACCTTCTTCAATTACTTGATTTTATGTCTTTGTTGGACAATATACACATCTAAGAAAAAGTGTTTCATATCTCTTTCTTTCATTCTTTTCTTTGCAATCATACACACACACATGCACACACACAACATGGATTTGAGATATTTTTTGTTTTATATTTTTCACAGCAGGCCCAAAATCCAAAGGGAAAGCAGAAGCCCAGAAAACCGCGGGCATTATTAATGGCATCTTAAAGGTTGAAAAGAAAAAACGAGCACAGGCCAAAGGTGCTTATTTTATCGGTATTTGTGAGTGATGCGTAGATTTCCCCCCCCCCCCCCCTCTCTTTACAGTGTTACTACTAGTCTTTTTATTTATTAACTGTTTTTCATGATTCATTATTATTAATATTGTTTTATGAAATATTCAGTGTGTTTGATAATAGTTGTGTGTCTTCTTTTTTTAGTTTTCTTTTATATTTTTGGCCCCTCAAAAGGACTGCTAGAGGCTCATGTGATTAACATTTTTAATACTGATCATTGATGCTTTGATTATGACTTATGCTGCTCCTCTCTATAAATGTTTTTGTATACTAATTTTCCCATTATTTATCAGTTATTTTTAGTGTGTCTGTGTGTGTGTGAGAATGAATAATGGCAGGAAAATGGTGAATGAGTTATTGAAACTATGTGTGGATGGGTGTATGAGTGAGTGTTGCAAGTGATAGTGATGCTGAGGGAGAGAGACAGAAAGAGAGAGTGAGTGAGTGAGTGAGTGAGTGAGTGAGTGAGTGAGTGAGTGAGTGAATGTGAGAGTGTAAGAGTGTATGAATGAGTGTTACTGTAGTGTGTAGGTTTTTGGGAGATATCAGCTACATTTCAGTGTCAGTTTTAGCACTGTAAAGAACAAGTAGGAAAATTATGTTTCCTGGCAGCCTTTGACATAATTCCCAAAAGGCAGG